GCCTGTACATTAATTTTACAGAGATGCTGCATTATTTTCTTACTAGGTTTCTTGGCATACCTTTTAATATGCACCCTAAATTGTGCCATGCTTATTTTCCCCTTGTCCTGCCCCCTAATGGTTTAAAGATTTCTCATTGACTAGACTCATTCACTGCACGTGGGCAGTGAGCCAGCTGAGGAGTTCTGTCCATTTGGGATGGTAGGAGGACAAAGGGTTCAGTGGAAAGGAAAAGGAAGATGTTCAGGGAGCACTCTGATGGCTTGCCATCAACAGAGAGGGCGAAAGGAAGCAGATGCTGATGCCAGTGCATCAGAGAAGTTGAGAAGGGAAAAGTAAAGACTGGGACGAGCTAGGGTCTACTTTGGTGACTGAGTACACCATCCATACCTGGGATTCCAGCACCATGGAGGCAGAGGCAAGGAGACGCAAGCTCTGGGCAGAACCGAACATGTGGCATTAGAGTGCTTTCCTAGAATTCAGGAGGCTCTGGGATGCCTTCAAGATAGCAAGATTGTTTATAGCACCTTTGCATAACTGCATTATGTGTGGAATCCTGTAGTGGTCTGCTGCCTATCTATACATTGCTTGTAAACTGTTGGATACATATTTGGCAAGCAGTATGAAATAAAAATTAGCCTCGCCTCACCCCTTTTCTCATAATATTTGCATCAGCAGCCTTTGTGTGTATTTCACACATTCCAGACTATGCTTAGTCTTAGCATTTGCCCTATCTTTTTTTTTTTCCTTAAAGGTTTATTTATTATTTATACAACATTCTGCCTGCACAACAGATCTTACTATAGATGGTTATGAGCCACCATGTGGTTGCTGGGATTGAACTCAGAACCTTTGGAAGTACAGCAGGTGTTCTTAACCTCTGAGCCATCTCTCCAGTCCTATTTACCCTATCTTAATGCCCTCACTGTATACATCTTTTTGATTTCCTAGATTCAGTGTAGCTCAAATCTTGCTTTAAAAAAAATTGTTCTACATTATTTATTTATTTATAGTGTGTGTGTGTGTGTGTGTGTGTGTGTGTGTGTAGGGTTGTTTGTTAGTGAATATGCGCCAGAGCATGTCTGAGCAGGTCAGAAGACAATTGTGGGAGTTGGCTTTTCCATCATGTGGGCTTTTGGGATTGAACTCATAGCAAGCACCTTTGTCCAAATGCTGAGATACCTTGTGGGCCCCTAAGTCTGGCTTCTTCTACCAAGCCTTTTTCCTTTGGAATATACTGCTTTTTATTACTCCTTGTCTTTGTCAGTTTTCTCTTCTTTGGAGTTAGTTTATGTTTCAAAGGTTTAGTCCATTATCATCATGGTGGGAAGCATGGTTGCATGCAGGCAGACATGGTGCTGGAGAAGTAGTTGTGAGCTCTACACTTGGATAGACAGGCAGCCGGAAGGAGAGTGAACCACTGGGCCTGGCTTCAGCTTCTGAGAGCTCAAAAACCCACCGCCAGTGGCACACTACCTCTAAGAAAGCCACACCTATTTCAACAAGGCCACCACATCCTAATATTTTCGAATAATACCACTACCTGTGAGAACCATCATACTGTTTTTACATGGATGAGTTTTCCCCTTCTTCCCTTCTCTTTCTGACCCATTCACCCCTACCCCCACTTCTAATTTTCTTTATAAGTTAGATAATTAAATGTGTGCTACATAGTTTTATTTTCGTTATAAGGGATGTGATGGTAACACATTAGCTTCTGTGTATGGTTGGAAGAGCAAAAACTTTTTTTTCCTGTACTTCGGTTTAAATTTTCTTTTTAAATTTTTTTATATTAATTACAGTATATTCATTTTGTATCCCAGCTGTAGTCCTCTCCCTCATTCCCTTCCCAAACCACCCTCTCTCCCTCATCTACCCAAGTCCACTGATAGGGGAGGTCCTCCTCCCCTTCCCTCTGACCCTAGTCTATCAGGTCTCATCAGGAATGGCTGCATTGTCTTTTTCTGTGGCCTGGTAAGGCTGCTTCCCCCTCAGGGGGAGGTGATCAAAGAGCCAGCCACTGAGTTCATGTCAGAGACAGTCCCTGTTCCCCTTACTAGGGAAACTCAGTTGGAGACTCAGCTGCCATGGACTACATCTATCTAGGGGTTCTAGGTTCTCTCCATGCATGGTCCTGGGTTGGAGTATCAGTCTCAGAAAAGACCCCTGTGCCCAGATTTTTTGGTTCTGTTGCTCTCCTTGTGGAATACCTTTCCCCTCCAGGTCTTTCTTTCTCCCCCTTCTTTCATAAGACTCCCTGCACTCTGCCCAAAGTTTAGCTATGAGTCTCAGCATCTGATTTGATGTCCTGCTGGGCAGAATCTTTCAGAGGCCCTCTGTGGTAGGCTCCTGTCCTGTTCCCTGCTTTCTCCCTCTTCTGATGTCTGTTGCATTTGCCTTTCTGAGTGAGGATTGATCATCTTAACCAGGGTCCTCCTTCTTGCTTAGCTTTTTTAGGTGTACAGATTTTAATATGTTTATCCTATATTATATGTCTAATATCCACTTATAAGTGAGTATATATCATGTGTGTCTTTCTGTTTCTGAGATACCTCACTCAGGATGATCTTTTCTAGTTCCCACCATTTGCCTGCAAACTTCCATGATTTCCTTGTTTTTAATTGCTGAGTAGTATTCCATTGTATAAATGTACCACAATTTCTGTATCCATTCCTCAGTTGAGGGGCATCTGGGTTGTTTCCAGATTCTGGCTATTACAAGTAAAGCTGCTATGAACATGATTGAACAAATGTCCTTGTTGTGTACTTGGGCATCTTTTGGATACATGCCTAGGAGTGGTATAGCTGGATCTTGAGGAAGCACTATTCATAATTATCTGAGAAAGCGCCAGATTGATTTCCAAAGTGGTTGTACAAGTTTACATTCCCACCAGCAATGGAGGAGGGGGTTCCCCTTTCTCCACATCCTCTCCTGCATGTATTGTCACTTGGGTTTTTGATCTTAGCCATTCTGATGGGTGTAAGGTCAAATCTCAGGGTCATTTTGATTTGCATTTTCCTGAAGACTAAGGATGTTGAACATTTCTTTAAGTGTTTCTCTGCCATTCGAAATTCCTCTATTGAGAATTTTCTGTTTAGTACAGGATTACTTGATTTTTTTACTGTTTAACTTCTTGAGTTCTTTATTGGTGAAGATCCTTTCCCAGTCTGTAGGCTGTTGTTTTGTTCTGATGACAGTGTCCTTTGCTTTACAGAAGGTTTTCGATTTCATGAGGTCCCAATTATTGATTGTTGATCTTAGAGCCTGTGCTGTTGGTGTTCTATTCAGGAAGTTGTCTCCTGTGCCAATGAGTCCTAGGCTCTGCCCCACTTTTTCTTCTAAAAGATTTAGTATGTCTGGTTTTATGTTGAGGTCTTTGGTCCATTTGGATTTTAGTTTTGTGCAGGGTGATAAATATACATCTATCTGTATTTTTCTACATGTATATATCCAGTTAGACCAGCACCATTTATTAAAGATGCTGTCTTTTTTTTTCCCATTGTATGGTTTTGGCTTCTTTGTCTAAAATCAAGTATCTGTAGGTGTGTGGGTTTATTTCTCGGTCTTCTATTTTATTCCATTGATCCACCATTCTGTTTCTATGCCAGTACCATGCAGTTTTTATTACTATTGCTCTGTAGTACAGCTTGAGATCAGGGATGGAGATATCTCTAGATGATCTGTTATTGTACAGGATTGTTTTAGCAATTCTGGGTTTTTTTTTTTTTTTTTGTTTTGTTTTTCCATATGAAGTTGAGAATTTTTCTTTCAAGGTCTGTAAAGAAGTCTGTTGGTATTTTGATGAGAATTGCATTGAATCAGTAGATTGCTTTTGGCAAGATGACTATATTCAACATTTTAATCCTACCAGTCCTTGAGCCATGGGAGATCTTTCCATCTTCTGATATCTTCTTCAATATCTTTCTTCATAGACTTGAAGTTTTTTTCAAACAGGTCTTTTACTTGGTTGGTTAGAGTCACCCCAAGGTACTTTATGTTGTTAGTGGCTATTGTGAAGGGTGTTGTTTCTCTAATTTTTTTCTCAGCCCTTTTGTCTTTTGTATACAGGAGGGCTATTGATTATTTTGAGTTAATTTTGTATCCAGTTAATTTTGTTTATCAGCTGAAGGAGTTACCTGGTAGAATTTTTGGGGTCACTCATGTATACTATCATATCATCTGCAAATAGTGATACTTTGACATCTTCCTTTCCAATTTGTATCCCCTTGATCTCCTTCAGTTGTCTCATTGCTCTAGCTGGAACTTCCAGTACTATCTTGAATAGATAAGGAGAGAGTGGGCAGCCTTGCCTTGTCCCTGATTTCAGTGGGATTGATTTAAGTTTTTCTCCGTTTAGTTTGATGTTGACTATAGGCTTGCTGTATATTGTCTTTACTGTGTTTAGGTATGTGCCCTGACTTTAAACATGAATGGTGTTGGATTTGTCAAATGCCTTTTTGGTCTCTAAGGAGATGATCATGTGATTTTCAATTTAAATTTTCTAAATTTTGCACTTAATTTTTTTTCTCTGCACATAACTTGTACTACTTTCTCTTATTAAAAAAGAAATCAAATTGAGGCAGTAACATTTACTGTATATAATAAACCTGCAAAGAAAAGATGTTAGACTGGGAATCAGGACCAAAGACATTCTTAGACCAGCCCCTTCAAGATGCTGAAGTTCAGTTTCCTAGTATGTAAATAAAGGTCTCAAGTAAAGCCTCTTAAAACCTTCCCAGGTCTTTGTCCTGTTCACATATTCAAGATCCTTCCAAGCAGCTAGCCCTTGCTCTTTTTCTGACTGAGCCAAAAACCAGACTTGTATTAACCAGTGCTGATGTCATGCTTTCCTTTTTTATCCTAGTTTGAGACTAGTCATTACTGCTTAACTTGAAATATATTTCTGGTCTGTTGTTGCATCCACAGCAGAAATCTGTCAGTCATTGAAGAGCGTCACCTCACCTGGTCGTGATTTATTTGCTCATAATTTTCTTTTTAAGGTATTTTCAAGAGAAATAATTCCAGATTGATGGATGAAATTTTAAAACAACAACAGGAACTTTTGGGCCTAGATTGTTCCAAATGTTCACCAGAGTTTGCAAATAGTAACGACAAAGACGATCAAGGTAAGTGTGTATGGGCATTTGGACACAGGACAGGTTTCAGGTCAGATTTTGTCACATTCTTTAGTCTTGCTCTGTTGTTCTTTATTATCAATAAATTATCTTGGTAGAAGATAATTTTCAGAAAATGATAAAATAACAATTGACATTAAAAAAAACGAATCCACATTAAAGAATGTATTTAACCAGGCAGATTTTATCGTCCTGTGAATAGCGATGCCCAGGAACAGATACATTTAAAATAGTGAGTTTATGAATCATGGAAAACTGCTTTTTGTACAGGGTAATATGAAAGAAGGTTTATAAGTAATACTTTTGTATTGCTATCAGTTATCTACGGTTCTAACAGTTCTAAAGCAGCTTCCAGAGTCAGATGCGCATATGGGCAGGGCGCACAAAAATCACTGAAAGACAGTTCTTTAGTCTATAGTTCTCTTTTATGTTATAACTAAATTGACTATGGGTGTAGATGGCATTTTTAGATAAGCAGAAGTTGTAGGCAGCCTCTTGTAGATGGTTTATTCACTGGACAGAGTTACTTTTAGGATTTGGAAACAGTGCTACATAAAAATAGGCCTGATCTATCAATCTTTCTGTCTGTCTGTCTGTCTATCTATCTATCTATCTATCTATCTATCTATCTATCTATCTATCTATCTATTAGACCTGGAGTGCATGGCTCCGTTCAGAGGTGACTAGCAGGTGTGTTTGGATACTGACACTGAAGGGCTTGAGTGGTTTCTAGTTATCACAATTGTATCTTTGGTTTGAGCTTATTTCATTAAACTGATTTTGAAATAAATATGGAAGAGTGTGCTTTACCTATTATAGTGTCTGTTTTTTTTTTCCTCTCTAGTTTTAAATTGCCCTTCGGCAGTGAAGGTGCTGTCCCCAGAAGACGGAAAAGCGGATATTGTGAGAGCTGCCCAGGACTTCTGCCAGTTAGTAGCCCAGCAGCAAAGGAAACCCACAGATCTGGATGTAGATCTACTAGATGGCTTACTTAGTAAGTAAGAAATGTTTCCCCAAGACACAGATGAAAGTAAATCTGGGTTTTGCCTGCCCTGGTGGTTCATACCTTTAATCCCAGCATTCAGGAGGCAGAGGCAGGCGGATCTTTGGGGTCCAGGCTAGCTAACCAGTACTACATAGTGAGACACCATCTTGGGGTGGGGAGAAAGGGAGGCTTTTATTGCTGAACCACTTACAGTTCTAAAGAAAAGTCTTTTTTATTTTATTTTGGGTGTGTGAATTGGCACATGGGCAGTGGTAAGAATGATTGGTGGAACACCTCCCCGAACCTGAGCCATCTTGATGGCTTAAGGAAAGGGTTTTGAGAATTTTTTAAAAAAGCATTATTCTTGGAAGTGGGTTTTAGTGTGTGGGTCACTCTTTTTCGTCCCTCTTTCACTTCTTTCTCCTTTTTTAGTTTGGGCTTTTTGTTTAGCTTAAACAACTTTATTGTGAGGCAGTCTCCCTCCAAATATAGCTTATTCATCTTTCCTTTTGTGTTCATTCTATTTGCTCAGCAGACAAACCATTGCATGTGTCATATTTTGCTAAAATACAGCATTACATGTAAGTGCACATACATAAATATATATATACATCCCCTACCTCACCCCATCCTGCTTATGAAAGTCTTTGGTTTGCTGTTTCTCCCTGAAGTTCTGTTAGGAACTTTTTGCCCTAATTTTAGTTTGAAAACATGGACGTGCTTTTTTTTTTGTAAAATATAGTTTGTAAAATATAGTTATTTTATTAAACTATTATTTTATTAAGATAGTAAGAGGAATATTTTTACTTTCAATAAATAAGTTGAATATTGCCATTTCATCTAAACTTTGATAAGATTAATAGATATAACTCATATTAGTAGAAACTCATTGGAACTTTTAATAATATTTAGAGTGCTAAGAAACTTGTGTGAACAAACTTTGAGACCTGCAAGTTAACAGCCTGGAGACTGTGGTATATATTACCAGTATGTCAACATCATGAAATTCCTCTAATGTAATTTCTGTCTTCTGTATAAAAAAAATACAAAATGTTTCAAGCTATAGTACGGAATCAGACTGAGAAGATTTAAGAACAGGGGCCTGGGGAGGTGGCTCAGGAGTTAAAGTATTTGCTATGTAAGCCTGATAAACCGAGTTGAGAGCTCCAGGGCCCATGAAAACTATTGGAAGCATCTATAATGCCAGCACATCCCACTGGGAGATAAAAGAGGGAGACCGTAGCATCACTAGAAGCTCATCCAACTAGGCTGATGTCAGGAGAAGTGAGCAAGAGGGCACCTGTTTCAAGGTGGGAAGTGAGGACTACACTCAAGTTCGTCCTCTGCATGCCTACATGCTGTTACACACATGGCTGCACTCCGCTGCCTCTCCTCCTTGAGATACAAGAACAAAAATACAAACTGCACAGTTTAGGGGAAAAAGTGACTCTTACTCTTGTTGACAGAAAGAAACTATAGAATAATTCTGAAATTATCATTTAAGTGATCGTAATAATAAAGATATGCCTATACATACTGCCTTATCATAAGTATTTCTACACATTGCCTTCCTGAGTTACCCTTCACTTGGACCTCTGGATTATATTGCTCGTACTACCAGTATTATTTGTTATAATTCTCTCTGCTAATGAGATGGGAAAAGGAGACAGACAAAATTACAAAGCTAGTATAGTAAGAGGTTCAGCCAGCACAGACTAGGACTTGCAGATTTTAAATTCCGCATTAAACATTTGTGAAACCACAGAGAAGTTGTACTTACCATTCAGAGTAGTTTCTTTTACCTACTCCAGTGGTAAAACTTTTGTGTTTGTGTGTGTGTGTGTGTGTGTGTGTGTGTGTGTGTGTGTGTATGTGAAAGAGAGAGTAAGTGAGCTTTTTGTTTTCTTAATCAAGTTGTTTTCTTCATATAATACATTTTGATCATGTTTTTCCCCCCTTCCAATTCCTCCCAGATCCTCCCCACTGAACTTTATGTTCGTTCTCTCCCTTTAAAAACAAACAGACAAAAACAAAACAAAGAATTCACAGCAAAAACAGAACAAAACAAAAAACCAATAAAACCATACAAAAAAAAAAAAAAAAGAAAGAAAATCAAAATAAACAACCTAAAGACAAAATATGCACAAATAAGCCAGGTGTGGTGGCAGAGACAAGCTCAGACAAAGCTGAGGTGAACACACAGTTTTCAATCTAGGTTATACCGAGAGGAAGCGTGGTGTTTGTCTTTCTGAATGTGGTGTGTTTTGATGAGGCGGGTTCTCAGTGCATTCATTTTGTATATTTTCACTTGTCTACCTGTTTAGGTTTAGTAGTCATCCAAGGACTTGCACACTGGCTATGCATAGACAGCTTAAGATTCTAAGACTCTAGGGATCTGTGCATGGCACCTGAAAGTTGCCCTGTAAATTGATAACTGTTTCTCAAGTTGTCCTGGCCCTGTCTTTACACTGGGCTTTCTTCCCATGCTTCCCTTTTGTCCTTCCCTCCATGTGGGGATTTTGCCACATAGTCATGGCTGAAGGATTTTATGTGAGCCCTATTTCCAGGATCTTTTGTTAGTGTCTGGACATTGAGCCTGTACCCTCAAACCAGTAGAACTGTGAGTGGTCCTATTCATCAATCCCCTTAAGTTTCACACTTGTAGCTAGCAAAACGATGGACATTGATTGTTCTCTGCTGCAGGTACCTTCCAGCTGTCATTTCTGTCCACATCAGGGCAGTGAGAAGCAAATCCCCTCCAGGCACTCTTTCTGCAGTTAATTGGGGTTAGAGGTGCATGGGTTTGGAACAGTCCCAAACAAGAAAACAAGTTCTTAGTTGAAACTCTTATCTGCTTTAACAATTGTAGTTTTAAATGGTAATTGCCTGCCTTTGGACAGTATCCACTGCTCTTGAAAGACTGGTTTTGTTGAGTTATTTTAAGACTTTTTTTTTTTTTTTAATGAAGAAGATCTGTTAGCTCCACATTTATCAGGCACCTCTCTCTTCCCTCTCTCAGAAGAGAATTGCTTTGTAGGTAGCAGTGAGTTTGGTTTCAGTGTTTCATTTGTGTCTAGCATGAACTTTTTTTGGTTTTTTTGCCTTTATTTTTTTAATTCTTTATTAATTACACTTTATTCACTTTGTATCCCCCCTGTGGTTCCCTCACTCCTCCTGTCCCAATCCCTCCCTTCCTCCACCCTCTTCACACATGCCCCTCCCCAAGTCCATTGATAGGGGGGAGGTCTTCTTTTCCTTCCTTCTGATCCTAGTCTATTAGGTTTCATCAGGAGTGGCTGTGTTGTCTTCTTCTGTGGTCTGGTAATGCTGCTCCCCCCTCAGGGGTAGGTAAGTAAAGAGCAGGTGAGTCAGTTCATGTCAGAGACAGACTCTGTTCCTCTTACTGTGGAACCCACTTGGACACTGAACTGCCATGGGCTACATCTGTGCAGGTGTCTTAGGTTCTTTCCATGCATGGTCCTTGGTTGGAGTATCAGTCTCAGGAAAGACCCCTGTGCTCACATTTTTTGGTTCTGTTGCTCTCCTTGTGGAGTTCCTATCCTCTGCAGATCTTGCTGTTTCCCCCTTCTTTCATAAGGTTCCCTGCACTCTGCCCAAAGGTTAGCCATAAGTCTCAGCATCTGCTTTGATAGTCTGCAGGCAGAGCCTTTTAGAGGTCCTCTGTGTCAGGCTCCTGATTTGTTCCCTCTTTTCTCCTTCTGATGTTCATCCTCTTTGCCTTTCTGGATAGGGATTGAGCATTTTAGCAAGAGTCCTCCCTCTTGATTAGTTTCTTTAGTTGTACAGATTTTAGTAGGTTTATCCTATATTATATGTCTATATGAGTGAGTATATACCATGTGTATCTTTCTGCTTCTGGGACAGCTCACTCAGGATGATCCTTTCCAGGTCCTACCATTTACCTGCAAATTTCATAATTTCCTTATTTTTCATTGCTGAGTAACACTCCAATGTGTAGATGTACCACAATTTCTGCATCCATTCATCAGTTGAGGGGATCTGGGCTGTTTCCAGCTTCTGGCTATTACAAATAAAGTTGCTACAAACATGGTTGAGCAAATGTCCTTATTGTGTACTTGAGCCTCTTTTGGATATATGCCTAGGAGTGGTATAGCTGGATCTTGAGAAAGCGCTATTCCTAGTTGTCTGAGAAAGCGCCAGATTGATTTCCAGAGTGGTTGAACCAGTTTACATTCCCACCAGCAGTGGAGGAGGGTTCCCCTTTCTCCACAACCTCTCCAGCATGTGTTGGCACTTGAGTTTTTGATCTTAGCCATTCTGATGGGTGTAAGGTGAAATCTCAGGGTTTGCATTTCCCTTATGACTAAGGACATTGAACATTTCTTTAATAGCATGAACTTTAAAGGGACTTTGTCAGAGAAATGATGGGTATTACTACTGGGTGAACTTATATAATCCAGTCTTCCCCATCTCCTCTTGTTTTGGTGTTGGGCTAATCCTGCCCCGTTACCAGCTCTGATCTCTTACTTGTCACAGAAGGACTGATCCTTGGAGAGATTTTTGAACCAGAGGAGTGTGACAGAACTGAGTACACAGCAACTGTTAGAACATGGGTCTCTTGGATTATAGGGTCATAACTGTTGTACCAACTACTGTGTAGACTTTATTTTCACAGATGAAACATCCATATCTGCCCCTCCTCCAGCCAGGTCTCATGGAAGTGAATTCATAATACAGGTAGAAAATGTTCATGTACTATTGAGGCCAGGGTCCACCTCTTGTTTCTCTGAACACTGTTGGAGGCTCTAGGGAACATTGAAGACATTTATATGGGTGGGTAGGAATTGGTTTTTCAGGTTCCCTAGCAAAGATACGGGCATTGAATGAAAGGAGGTAGATAGATACCTTTCCTCTTTCTTTTCTTTTTGTTGGTGTTGTGTTTTGTTTTTTGAGATAAGGTGCCACTGTATAGATTAGGTTGCCCTCAAAGTCAGAGATCTGCCTATTTCTGCCTCCTGAGTGGTCTTTGGTGTTTTGTTTTGTTTTTTTAAGATTTATTTTTTATTAAAGTTTTTTTAAACACAAGAATGTAGGTACTCTGGGAATCTGGAAGAAGCTGTCAAACTCCTGAGAGCAGCAGTTGTGAGCTGCCTGATATGGGTGCTGGGAACTGAACTTTGGTCTTCTAGAGGAACACTGTGGGCTCTTAAGCAGTGACCTACCTCTCCAGCCCCAAGATGGCTAATTCTTTATGAGCGTTTTATTTTCTGTAGTTTCTCAGTTCTGGGGCCAGTATAAGCACTTATGTCCCCAAAGCAGTGTCCTTTCCAAGATGTTAAGACAAAAGAGGGTTGGGAGAGGAAGAATGACATTATTTTAGATGATAATCAGCACAGTTGGATGGACTTTTGGGAATTTGCATATTTGGAGTGAACCTAGTTCTCATATTTGTTTGGAGGGGGGGTGGGTCTTGGGAGATGAGGACTCTGAGGGCAATAGGCAGGGAGCCCCAGAAGCCCTTGTCATGTTTGTGTGTAAATGGTACATGTTAATTTCATGTATGTCTTTATTCTAAAGGTTCACATGGTTTCCCTGATCCTGATTTAGTGTTGAAGTTTGGTCCTGTGGACAGCACATTAGGCTTTCTTCCCTGGCAAATCAGATTGACTGAGATTATGTAAGTAACTGAAAGTATGTTGGTTCTGTTCTTAGCATTGATCCTAGGATTGTACTAGATCTAATGGAAATACCTCATCTTTTATTTCAGGTGCTTAAGCATGAGTGGCAAAATAAAGGGTTGTAGATGAATTAGACAGTAAAGTATGTGATTGTGCAGATGTTTGGTATTGACAGTAATTATATTAGGGGATCATTAATGAGCAATATCTGAGTGCTAGAGTTGTCGCTGAACAGAAAAGGTAGGCATATACCCAGGCATGATACTGATAAAAATTTTGTATCACAGTGACAGTAGAAAGAGAAGCAAAAGAAATAATGGTGTTTAGAGATGTGAATGAAACGAGGCCTAGGGCTTTAGAGTCTAATGGTTTTAATAACAAAATGAGTAGGCTGGGAGTGGAAACAGCTGGAACCCGTAGGTAGTACTGGAAAGGTAATTTTGGAAAGTTTGTTTGGCTATTATGCCTAAGAGTTGGACTAAGGAAAACATAAATTAAAGAGACAATTGAAGCAGTCGTACCTATGATTTTGGGACAATGAAGGGAACAAAATTACTTATATAGAATAGGGTTTGCACACTTCTAAATAGCTAGAAAATAAGTATATTAGATTTTTCAGGTCATATAGTATCTTTCTATTTAACCATTAAATTTGCCTGACTCAGCAGATACAGCTAAATCACAGACATCTCATGAACAAGTATGGCTTTTATTTATAAAAATAAACTGTTAAGTTGGGCATGCCTATTAGTTTTCTGTACCTGGGAAGTTGGTGGGGGGGAGGTGGGGAGAAGGTTGAGGCCAGCCTCTGGACAAGCCTGAAACCTTGTCTAACAAACAAAACAGGTAAGCAAACAAAGAGTGTTATTTTTGACCCTGGTTTAGAATAAAAGAAGGACTCCCTCCTCCCCCAGACAGGGTTTTTCTGTTTAGCTTTGACTGTCCTGAAATCTTGCTCTGTAGACCAGGCTGTCCTCAAATTCAGATCTACCTATCTGTTCCTTGAGTGCTGGGAGTAAAGATGTGTGCCACCATGTCTGGCTAGAATAAAAGAGACTTAACAGCTTTAAATATATTCCACTTCTACATTATGAGTGGAAAAGTACTAGAAATCATTTGTGCTCTGAGAATTATTTACCGAGTGTGACTACGCACCCTAGCATTTTACTAATTGTGGTAAAGCTTCAGAGAGGAAGTGCAATGACTCCCAAGGTATTAAGCTGAATGGAAGAATTATTTTGAAAGGAAATCTCAAAGTAAAGGGAATCCTCACTTAGAAAGGGGAGATGCAGATGATTTCAAGGCTGTAGACTTTTTAATGGACTGCTTAGTAGGACACACATATGCAGGGAATTGGTGACTGGATAAGGTTAAAAAATGAAAGAATTACCAGTGTCCTAGAAGTGGTTGACCCTGTCAAAATAAAGGATCTCTCCAAAGTACCCTTTAAGAAATGCAAGTTCACTAAAAGAAAAAAGCTATCAAGTGAAGAGGCTTGAGAGCACTGTTAGAGTGTGGATGACTGTCCTGCCACCTCACTCACTGCGCAAAGATGAAAGGGGAAACAGGCTGGGTCGAGTCCAGTTCTCAGGCCTGGTTATGCTACAAGAGGCCTGTGTCTATTGTCACCAAGGTTTTCCAAGACCTCCCAGGAACTTCTCAGGTCAGTGTCAGGAAGTTATCTGGAAAGTGGTTCTGGGAGAAGACTGTTAAGAGGAGGTAGGTCTTGTCTCCGCTGTGTAGCTCAGTAGTGCAGCTTGGAAAATTGGACTAATCTATCATTATTATTATCATTATTAAGATAGGGATTTTTTAGGCCTGGCATTTCTGTATAGACCAGGCTGGTCTTGCACAACAGAGATCTGCCTGCCTTTGCCTCTCAAGTGCTAGAATTAAAGGCATGCACCACCACACCTGGCTACTGTTACTTTTTAAATGAGCATTTTAATGTAGAGTTGAGGATTTAAATAGCACAGGTGACAGATACCTAGCACATAACAGGTTGTCCATTGTACCTGTGTCTATACATTTGTCCAATATTTTATTGAGTTTTGTTTGTATTTGTGTGCCATTTAGAAGACTTAAGATCATGATGTCAGATAATCTGAGATGTCAGGCATCTCAATTCTAAAGTGAGCATGCCAGGAAGCATTCAGTAACATTTGAGACAGCAAGGGTAGTGGCACACAGTGCTTCCTGAAGACTGGTAAATAGGGCAGTTGCTAAAAATGTGGAACATGGGGGATGCTAGAGGCTTAAGGGGGACAGGAAGCAAATTTTAGGAAGAATGCTATCAAATAACATTTGAATAGATACAGTAGATACAAGGTTGGCAACAGAGATTATTATTTTCATTTGATGTTAAGAGATTAGAAGGAAAGTTGGTCACTTTAAAAATTCTTGGCAGTTGGAGGAAGGATAGTAAAGAGCTGTAGTGGAAGAGAACTGTAGGGTCAGGGATCAGGTAGGAGGGTTTTTATAGTAGGGTATATTTGTGTGTGTGTGTGGGGGGGGTTGTGTGTGTGATGTGGAACTCAGAATGTAAATCTGACCATGTGTTTGACTCTTACATTTTTGAGTATGTAAACCTCATTATGAAGATGTACAGAGTGGAGGGCTTTTTTTATGTCAGTTTTTGAAAATTATTTCACATAAAGTACTTGGAGCCCTCTCGTAGTGTGTCCATTGTGCCTTTCACATGCTTGTCTTCACAGTGTGGGCGTTCCCGTAGCAGTTGGCAGTGGTTACAGTTCATTGATTGGTTGCTCACTGCATCACTGTGTGGGAGTGCATGCAGCTCTAGCTGAGCCGAAGCCTGGCTCCCACAAACTGTCCTGGCTTCACTGTGGCCATGTCGAGTTCTTACAGTGAATCTGAGTACATTGTTAATACAGATTTTTTAACCTTAACATAGGTTTCTGCATTAATGCATTGTGACTCTAACTCACTGTAACTGACTGTTCTCTTGAATAGAGAAGGGCAGATTATGTTTGCTTGAACTATCTTTCAGTGAGGTTGATAAGAAGATTAAACTATTCTGCAAATAATTTACTTTTTTCTGCCCTTAGCTTTCTTTCTTGGCTAAGATACCCCCTCTCCATATTACAGTGTATCATCTAATCCCCTTCTTGTGTTTTGTTTTTTCTTTCCAGCTCTTTGCCTTCTCATCTAAACATCAGTTATGAGGACTTTTTCTCCGCTCTTCGGCAGTATGCAGCTTGTGAACAGCGTCTGGGAAAGTAATGGTCCCTGATTGCGTATTATGAATCCAGGCTTTTGGAGAAAAGGACCCAAGTGACTCTGATGTTTACAAAATACCTATAAAACCCTGTACACACCTAGTTCATATTCCTCATAATTTATCAACAAACACAAAAAAGTGTCTTACTTGAGAGCGAGTGTGTGTGTGTGTGTGTGTGTGTGTGTGTGTGTGTGTATGAAAATAAATTTATAAATGGGGGCACATTGGAGAATGGAGTATATAGACCTACAGTTCAAGCAAGTAGCAGCAGTGTGTGTCTTAGCAGCTGAGAGATTTCGGGCATAAAGGCTTCAGCTCCTGCTACTTCCCTGTTTTTGTGGGGAGTATAGGGAGTGAGTACAGCTGTTCTAGTTGTTTTTTTGGGGGGAGATAATTTTTGTTTAGTCTTTCTTAATGACCAAACTTTAATTTCTAAGAATAATATATTGAGTTACTGAGAGGAAGTATTCTCATTGTGAGCGGCATTCAGAGGCTCTGGATGTTCACTCGTTGAATATTTGCTCACTTGCAGAGCGAAGGGAACATCCTCAGATTTCCGTCCATTTCATTTCTTCATTACAGTAAACAGTATGACTTGAGAGGACTGGTTTGGTGTCTCTTCTGGGTTATAAAGATCATACTGAAGTATAGAATATAAAACTTTTAAATTCTGAATTAGGCAGTTAAAAACCAAAAAGGTAAATAAGCAGTCATCTTAAAGATGCAAAACTTCCGAAAGAACAGTTTTGATTTTCTTATTTGTGTGATGAATAGTATGGTATATAGTACCCAAAGCATTTTAAAAAATGTTTCCATTAGCTTTTTGTTTAAAATAAACATTTGTGAGAAGTTACCAAGGCAGCTTTTCCTCAGAAGTAACCTGCTCCTCTCAAGTGGCACTGGGATTTTCTCTTCCCAGTTAGTCTCGTGACAACTGCATGAGGGTTAAATGGGATATGGGGGCTTGTCTGAGCATAACTGAACTTGATCTTCTGTGTTCTCTTGTATTACAGAGAACAGCACTGGTTCTGACAGAATTGAATTCTTGACAGGTTAATGTTTTGTTTTTTTTTTTCTACACTACTAATCTTTGGATGGAAATCATTCTTTATATTTGATGGATAGTTTTCAGAAAACTTTTATCAACAAACATACAAGAGTTATGTGCATTTAGAATAGAGTGGTTTAAATACTAGGCCTCAGAAATCTGAAAAAAATAGCAAAGGACATGGATTTGGAAAATAATATGGTCTGGAACTGCTTGTCAGACTCTGAAGAATACATGTTTCAGCTTTGGATTACAAACCCCATTTATGATTTTTAAACTATACTTGAAATAAAATGATTAAAATGAATTTTGGTCCAGTGACATTACTTTGCACTTCAGTTTTGATTTTTTTTTTTTTTTTGTACAAAATTTTAAAGTCTTAATTTATTGCCAAAATTTTGTGTGAAGCTACAATGTATCTAAAGGTTATTAGTGAATTCTCTGTTTCTGTTTCCCTGTGCTGTGTGGGATTTGTGTTCCTCTGGTTTTATTTCACCATGGCAGGCTAATTTAAGGCAGTTTAAGGCCTTTTATAAACATGATAGGCCTTTATAGACTATGCACAGCTTTAATAAATTAAATTTACTGGGCCCAATTGAAATAAGAGGATTCAAGGTTTGTTAAAATGAAGTTTGCCAAGTTACCCTTTGGAACAGAGCCAAAATCCTAGAGTTGAGTTTTTATACTTTCTTCCTTCTGAAGTGTAACAGCAAAGCAAATCCATAGCATATGACCCAAGACTGTTGTGGCTTTAGGAAAAATTTCGTAAGCAAGCTGAGGGTTTTGAATTTAAATCTAGGCATTCAGGAATCTTCTCATATCAGATCAACTGCCAATGCAGTCTCCACAACCTGAAAAGCACTGGGCATTCTTCAGTTCCTACCAGGATCATCCCGAGGTGGCTGTCATCAAAACTCTCTTTGTGCTCCCAAGGAACTTCGTGTCCATGTGTATTAAAGGTTTTCTCTTTAAATTGTTTCTTCTTGACACACTCCACAATGGAAAAGACACCAAGTCAAAGCTACTCAACAGATGGTGTGTGGCATATAAAGAGGTTAGAGGGATTAACTTCATGTTGGAGTCTGATTGTAGATTGAGCCTTGAAACTGAATAGTTAATTGTTTGAAGTTGAAAAGCTGATTATAATGTGAATAGCAAATTCTGGTATGTTGTGACTAAGGCTTAAGAATGCCTGTTTCTGACAAAATATTCCATTATTAGTGAACAGTGCCAAATAACACTGTGCATATCGATAATTTCCCATTTGAATGTATGAATGTGTGTTAATTAGCTGCTCCCATCTGTATGAAGGTTGGTCCCATGCTTAGAGTCAGTGAAGTCCTTGTGATGTTTGTTATGCCTGTAGATTTTGGCGACATGTAAATAATGTATACAGCAAGTTTTTATGATTAAGGAATCAAATTTATTGAATTTTATTATTGAAAGTTGAAATAAAGATGTATGAACCAAAAAAATCAATAAAAGAATATACTCTTTTCATGGACTGTAGTATTATGTGAATGTTACATTTAGTCTGTACATTTGGGGATTCTGAAGTGTATGACCAGATAGCAGTCCCGGAATGCATTCTCATTTTTACTTGGTTAAACATTTGCAGTCTTACTTTGCTTTTTATTTAATACTAGAGTGACATTCAGCTTTGTCTTGGTGGGATTGTCAGGTTTCACAGAAACTAAAAGTTAAATTTTCAGTGAACATAGGAATGTTAATTTGAAAACAAATGTAGTGTATCTTCTTAAGAAGTGCTTTAATTGGAAGAGAAGAGCTGCCATGTCTTATGCAGCATAGTATCCCCTTTCTTAAGACCTCATTGTAGGACACCTTTGTATGCATAGTATTCATCTAGAGCCAGGATTCACCAAAGGTCACATTTTAACTCTTAATAGGAAATGCCTTTAACAAAAGTGACCTCATTGCACAATAGTAGTGCATCTGACTCCCAAAAGTGACTGTAGGAGATGGTTTGAAGGAGAACCCAGGGCAGGTGTTAGCCATTGCTCAAGATTCCAATCAATATCTGAAAAGTGATAAAATTTGTGGAAAAGGAGAATGTGAAAAGAATTTGCTTGAGGCACAACATATGTCATAAAGAATAATAAAATTTAAACAATTCAGGGAACAAAGAGGAAGTCCTCTTGGATACATTTTTTATGGCAATCCTTTCAGGACTCTTTTGTACTTTTATTTTAAAATGTGGTACCATGTCAGGCTTAATAAAGAGATTCTTTTGAACTATACACCTAGAATTTGAGTTTTTCTGCTTGGTATTTGGTTATTTTTTTTAGATATAAGTGGTAATATCCCATTAGCTATGTGGAAAAAAGACAGTCCACATTCATTTTAATGAGTATTTAATCTTCATCCAAATTTTGAAAATTTGTGTTCATTTTTTTAAATTTATCTTACAACAATTTAGAGAGTAGAAATTAATTTAAGCATTAGATATAAAGGAGTGCAAAAAATAAAAATGAAAGGTAATCTCAGCTTTTTTGTTGTTGACCATTCCCTTTCTTTAGAACTAGTTCTGTTAAGACAAGAAACCGGAGCTTAGGAAAGTAAAGAAACAGAATTGTTAGCTCAAGTCTGTAGGAGATGGGTATGGTGGTTTGAATAGGAATGGCCCCCTTAGACTCACGTGTTTGAATGCTTGGCCCATGGTGAGTGGCACTGTTAGAGGAGATGTCACCTTGTTGGAGTAGGTGTGGCCTTGGTCGAAGTGTGCCACTGCGGGGCAGGCTTTGAGGTCTTCCATGCTCAAGCTAGGCCTAATGTCACTTTTAATTCTGCTGCCTCCCAGTCCAGATGTAGAACTCTCAGCTCCTTCAGCACCGTGTGTGCCTGCCTGCTTTCATGTTTACCATCATGACGATAATGGACTAAACCTCTGAAACTGTAAGCCGGACCCAATTAAGTGCTTTCCTTTATGGGAGCTCCCATTGCCTCTTCATAGCAATAAAAATCGTAACTAAGACAATGGGTGTCAGCTCAAGTCTGTAGGAGATGGTTAAGAGTCAGGTCTGTCAAGGAGTATGCCCACGGTGGTTGATGTAGTACTTTTATCTTGTATGGGTTTGGTTAGAGGAGCCTGTTATTTTCTAAGTACTCCTAACAATGCTAGTTCCTTAGGCTACACAGGAGCATGTTAAATTCACTCTATTTAATGGAGAAAAGTGAGGGATTGTAACAGTAACCAAGTATTTCTGCAGTGGATTTCAGATAATTTGAAAGAAAATAGGACATCAAGAAAAATGTTAAAAGTGTTTATCTGGGGCGGTTGGACATAGTTTGTCTAATGCTTTGCGTCTCAGTGGAGACATTTCTTGCCACTTTGGTCAAGAGGGCAAGTCTGTCTTTATTAGAAAACAACGAAAAGGCTTGGCATGCACAGCCCTCCCATCAGAGTCACCCACCCTTAGAGCTGAGTAGAATCTACGGTTAAATATGGTTTCTAGAGTTTTGTCTTTTTTTTCTTCTCTTTTCTTTCTTTAGTTTGGGGAGGAGTAATACTAGATGTTACCCAGAGTCATCTGTTGAGTGGTTTGGTTTATACTAAATTTTTTTTTTTTTAATGTGTTCTTTAAAGAGATGAGCCACACTTGGTAGTTAGGCTTAACTTCTATTCCAAGTCTAAATCTCTTCCTCTATGTCCTGTCTTACATTTCTCTGTCCGTATGTTTGTGTGTGCCACATCACACGTGGTGGTCAGAGGGCATCATTGAGAAGTCAGTTCTTCCACCACATGGATCTCGGGGATAGAACTCAAGTCCTTATCTTGGTAGCAATCACCCTTACACACTAAGCCATCTCGGTGGCTCCAAATCTTTCTTTTCACAACTAATGACATCTAATGTTCCTCTTGTCAGCAACTTTTTCCCCCTCCTGTTTTCTGTGTGTTAAATTCTTCCCCTTAGCTATAAAATGAACATGGACTTTCAGTCTTTGTCATTCGTTCAAGTGGTTGTCTATCACCCTTCACTGGTAAAATAACCCCGAAACTTCCTTTCTTACCACCTCAAGATTCTTGCCCTCTTAATTAGTTCTAGTATCATGTCATCCTTTCATTTAGTTCTGTGTGATTCATTTAATTATGGAACTGTTTGCACAGCTTGCTTATTGGTAGGGCATAGCAACACAGTGACTTGAGATGTGTGTACACTGGAATGGTTGAGTGAAGCTAATTGGCACATTTAGTGAGTGAGTGTGTGTGTGTGTGTGTGTGTGTGTGGTGAGAGTAGTCATTTTCAAGAAAACGATCCATTGTGATTCAGTTACCATGTCATACAATAGATGGCTTTATTCTTTTTAAAAATAATAACATGTTTTGCATTTGTGTATGTCTGTGGAGCGCATGCATGCCAGGTACCCAAGGAGGCCAGAAAAGGCCATTGAATCCCCCAGTACTGGATTACAGATGGTTGGAAGCTGCCATTTGGGTTCTGGGAATGGAATCCAGGTCCTCTGAAAGAGCAGCTAGTGAGTGCTTGTAACTGCTTAAGCCCATCTCCAGCCCTACTTTATTCTTTATGACTGAAACTTTGTGTCCTGGGACAGTCTTTGTCTTCCCCAGTCCCCACTCCACCTGGCTAGCCATCACTTCACTCTATGCTTCTCTGAGCTAAACTTTATTTGTTAACGGTTCTATTCAAAAGCTCTTGTTTCTATCATTTAAAAAGATACTCCTATGCTACAAAATTTCTCCCAGCTCTTTGAAGGAATATCACAATTTGTTGTGTGACAAAACTTTCCTGAGGACACACAAAATACATGTCTACTCACCACTAATAGGGAATCTGTGACAGGTCAAAGTACAGATACCACCAAAGTCCAACTTGGTGAACGGTAGGTTTTTTTTTTTTTTTAATGAAATTTTTTATTATTACAATTCATTCACTTTGTATCCCAGATGTGGCCCCCACCCTTGTCCTCTCCTAATCCCACCTTCTCTCCCTCCCTCCCTCATCCCCTCCATGCCCCTCTCCAAGTCCACTGATAGGGGAGGACTTTCTCCCCTTCCATCTCACCCTAGCCTATCAGCTCTTATCAGGGCTGTCTTTCATAGTCTTCCTCTGTGGCCTGGTAAAGCTGCTCCCCCCTCAGGGGTAGGTGATCAAAATGAGCTCAACTTTTATATACTACATGTAAGTGAGATCATGCCACATTTGTCTTTCTGTGTCTGTTTCGTTTAACATAATGGCTTCTATGTAATCCACCTTAGCATAAAAGTATTACCTTTGTGCATTTATACCACATAGATTGGTTATATATCTTCCTGTGGCTAATGAACATGATGTCAGATGTCTCAATCCATTCATTTTCTTTGATACATGTCTCCTGGTGGGATTCCATAGTACTTTGGCTTTTATCATGCTTCTGTTATTCTGCCACCAACATGCAAGGTTTTCATTTCCAACACATTTCATTTTCTCTCCAAGCAATGTAGGCATTTTAGCAGTCTGCTAATTTGTTTGTACCTTTTAAAAATTATTTTTTTTTATTTTTATTAACTACAGTTTATTCACTTTGTATCCCAGCTTAGCCCCTTTCTCATCTCCTCCTAATTCTTCTCTCCCTCCCTCTTCTCCTATGACCTAACCCCCTTCCAATGATAGGGGAGGTCCTCCTCCCCTTCCAGCTGACCCTAGTCTATCAGGTCTTATCAGGACTGGCGTCTTTGTCTTCCTCTGTGGACTGGTAAGGCTGCTCCCCCCTTAGGTGGAGATGATAAAAAAAAAAAAATTCTTTCACAAATCTTTTGCAGTTTTCAGTGTACATATCTTTTATCTCCTTGTTGAACTTTTTTCAAGTATTTATTTTTTTGTAGTTTTTTAGTAGGATTGCTTTCTAGATTTTCCTTTGACAGCTAATTGCTGGTGTGTGGAAACACTGCTTTTATGCTGACTTATGTATACAGGACAGGAACTTACTTTGTTCAGGCATCAGGCTTAATATTTGTTTAATTAATGAGATTCTAAGGACTCTTTGAAGTCTAATTTGCCAAATTACAAAGTTAGCCTGAATGTTACTAAAGCCAAATCTATACTTTTGTTATCTTTCTTTTTGAGATAGGGTCTTATTATGTAACACTGGCTAACTGGCCATCCGACTCACAGAGAACTGATTGCCTCCCAGGTCCTGAGATTAAAGGCTGGACACAGCACCTATCTCTAACAAGTCCTTATTCCATTTAACACACCTTTTTGCCTGTGAGTTTTTAAATATTTCTTAGTTTCTATACTTAATTTATTGGAATTTATTATTTACTTCTTTTTCTAAAAACTTAAGTCCCAGAGAACCATAAGAATTAAGTGTTTAATCTGTCTGCCATGTTTCAGTTAATTTATTTTGTCTACACTTCCATATCACGATTCATGATTGGAAGCAGTCAGGGTAGGAACTTGAGGGCAGTAGCAGATGCAGAGGCCATGGGGAGTGCTGATTACTGGAAAGTTTGCTCCTCCTGGCTTGGTCATCCGGT